TGCCAACAGGTGGCGGGATGGCTCAGCTAAAAAAAAAAAAATCCAGACTTTCAGTTTCTCTTGAAAAATGGGAAGAGATGGCTGCACTGGGTCCACATTCCTGCAGGGCCCTCTTTGGGGGGTGAGTAACGGCTGGCTCTGAAGGCAGGGCTTGCTTATTCCACTTTGCCCCAGTCCCCGCTGCTCCCTAGTGTCTCTCATACCAGGCCACCCCACTCATTTCCATACATGATGTCCCATCCTTGGCAGGCTTGAGGTGTGGGTCCCTTGCTTAGGGTTTAGTCTTCTTGTCTGTGCCACTGGAGGATTGAACTAGGTTGGGGGTTGAACACATTTCTGCAGGTCTCTGGCCCCACCGCCCCACTCCCCCCTTAGGAGGGCAGTGTATGTGGAAATGGAGAGCTCCCATCCAAGCTTATCCTAGGGAGTGTTTCACGATGGCACAAACATAGCATTGCCTCAGGCCTTACTCTTCAGCAGAAATGTAATTCTCATGATAAGGACAGATGATTTTGTTTCAGGATTTGCATGTGTGTGCATGCACGTGCTTTTCTGTCCTGGCTGTGAGAAGCTGACAATGACGAGGCTGCTCAGCTCTGGAAAACGCTGTTGCAACCTGTCCTTGCGTTATCTCCATATCTCCATGTTTTCCAGAACAATCTCAAAGCAGAACATTCACAGGGGAGGAAATCTGCAACTCAAACTGCCTGAAAATGGCCTGTAAAATGGGACATTGTGTGTGTGTGTGTGTGTGTGTGTGTGTGTGTACGTGTGTACATATGTGTGTGTTCCATGTGAGTGTGTGCTTGTGTGCACATATGCCCTTGCGTGTACGTGCACTGTGTTGTATGTATGTATGCATGTGTATGCATGTATGCTTGTGCATGCTTGTGTGCATGCACGCCTGTCTGGCGTGTCAGCGTCTCATGTGCTGCCTCTTCTCCCCACAGTCCGCTGTCGAGTGCAGCGGCCTCCTGCGGACCCTGCACGGGCTGGAACAGGAGCACTTGAGAAGGTCCCTCGCTCTGCAGCAGGAGGAAGACTTTGCCCGGGCTCACAGGCAGCTGGCCATTTTCCAGAGAAATGAAGTGCACCGTATCTTTTTCGCCCAGATAAAAAACGCTATTTTCAAAGGGGACCTGAAACCAGAAGCAGCTAAAATGCTGCTACAAGATTACTCTAAAACACAGGTAAGACCTCGAATCAGGCTCGCTGTGAGGCAAGAGTCATTTTCCTGACCGGTTGCAGTAAATCCCTCCTCCCCCAGAGCTAAGGCCTGTGTCTTCTCTCATGCTGCGGACGAGTGAACTAACGTTCTCTTCCTTCACCCTTCATGCGTGTGTGAGCTCCCAGTGAGCAGGACACACGGGGGCTTGAAGCCCAGGCCCGGGACTCAGGTCGACCTGGACATGAACTCCAGTTCTGCCACCCAGCAGCTGTGTCAGTTTAAGCAAATTGCCCAACTTCTTTGAGCCTCAGTTTCCTTACCTGTAAAATAGGGTTAATAGAGCACCCATAATCACAGGGGAGTGATGGAGATTGAATGAGCTGATTCATGAAAGCCAGTGCTTGGCTCGAAATATGTTTATATAGCAGTTAAAATCATGTAACTATATATGTGCATATACGTGTGTGTCTGTGTGGGGAGGGCGCCCATTACAGTCCGTGTCCAGATACGCCTGCGTGAATTTGTATCTATTCTTGCATATATACTTGAGTGTGAACGTTATTAATGCAGACCGAATAAATTCCTAGATGATAGCAACAATAGTTTATCTGAGATTGTCAATGTGCTGTGGAATTTCCTGTGAGGCTGGCACGAGGTGAAGTCACTAATGTGTAATCACACACCAGATTTCCGGTCCTGGCACAGGCTCAGTGTGTGAGGGCGCGACAGAGCAGGGTGGTGCCCGGAGGAGACCACATAATCCCCGTGAGCCTTTGGGGAGACAGGGCCACTCGCAGGAGGCACTGGGACGTGAAGAGGACAGAGCAGCCTCTCCAGTTTGCTCTAGGTTTTTACACTAAGCTTCGGTGAGAGTAAATACAGCAAGAATTCTGTCATCTTCCTTGTCCGGTATTCAGACCCCATGGCGTCACTTAGATATTGCAGTCCCTTTCTCATGAAGGGCAGTGGCTGACTCTCAGGGCAGTCACATTGGAAAGAATGTGTGTGATGATTAACCACAATGGGGCCGCAGGCGTAACTGCCTCAGTGATAGCGCCACTGCGGCAGAGACTTCTCTGCCCAGAGCTGCTGGAATATTTGAGGATGCTGCCTGTGACTTTCCTTGCATGCTGGCCCAGGTCACCAGGTCACATGGGTCCCATCCCGGGGAGGACAGGAATATTGCCACAGTGTTCCCTTTCTATTGATTCTGTTGCCAGGGCTTTCAGGGCGATGCTGGTATTCGGCCTGTCTGACCATCAGCTCTCACTGCCTGGACAGTGCGGATTCTCAGGTGTCGGGAACTGGTGATGTTACAGCTTTTGTGCGGAAAGGAGACCGTCCGTGACATCAGACGTCTCTTATTGAACAATGTGCTGATCTTTTCAGTAGCTCATTGCCTGGGCAATGTTTCCACAGATGGAAACAAGACAGCAGAGTCGATCACTGGGTGATTCCACTGAGGCTAATGTTTTAATTCCTGCTGGTCTCATTCCTGTGGTTCTAATTCCTGTGCCGCTGGGTGAAGAGGGATTTGGGGGGCAGCCTACTCTGACGTGAGAGCACAGGCCCTGGAATTAGATGGCTGAGTTCCATTCCCTCTCGGCTCTTCACCAGCTGTGCGACATGGACCTAGCTTCCTCACCTAGGAAATGGGACTAACAGGACTCTCTCCCTAGAGCAGCGGTTCTCAACCTTCCTAATGCCGCGCGCGACCCCTTAATACAGTTCCTCATGTTGTGGTGACCCCCAACCATAAAATTATTTTCGTTGCTACTCTATAACTGTAATTTTGCTACGGTTATGAATCGTCATGTAAATATCTTTTTGTTTTCCGATGGTCTTAGGTGACCCTTGTGAAAGGGTCATTCGGCCCCCAAAGGGGTCGCGACCCACAGGTTGAGAGCCGCTGCTCTAGATTAAGTTCTATAAGGTAAGAAAGGCCTGGGCCCGCTGTCAGGCCCAGAGAAGACACCCAGCGTAAGCTTGGTTCGCATCCGCTCTTGTGTTTGGTTGGGTGGTGTTCATTTTTAGACCAAAGAAAGCGTCTCGCTGCTCTTTGTAACTACTCCTCTCTTCGCCTCCGTGCGTGTGGGAGTTCAGGGGTCAGCGCCGGTGGCTGATGATGGGTCCCAGAACTGCCGCACCTGTGCTGGTGCTGTTTTGGGACCAACGTGGGTGTGCACGTGTGCCTGGGGAAAGGACTGATCACTGACTGAGTGAAATTTACATCCCGCGTCTTAGGGCCGTGAAGTCATTTTGATGACTTCTTCCCATCTGGGTCCTGGGCACTGTTCAAAGTCCTCATTTCTTATTCAGATAGAATTTTCTTGTAAGCCTTTGCTGAGTGTTAATCCCAGTGCTCCTGTTCCTGTGTATTTTCTTTAAAAAGGAAATGTAGTATTTTAAATGTCTAGAGAGAATTTTCTCTAAATGCTAATTAGGCATATTTTCTTGATTTTTTTTTTTAAACAGGAAGATGTAGAAGAGTTAATGGACTTTTTCCAGGCTAGTAAGAGGTATCATCTAAGTAAAAGATTTGGCCACAGGGAGTACCTGGTCCAGAACTTACAGTCGTCAGAGACCCGTGTGCAAGGCCTTCTGAGCACCGCGGCTGCCCAGCTGACCCTCCTCATCCAGAAACACGAGAGGTAAAACCCCCAAACCGTCCCGATGGGCAAACAAACCGCCTTGCCCCACGTTCCTCATGCAAGACCATCTGCTTGTGTTCAGTCATTGAATGCACCGGCTGCTTCTTAATTATTCTTAAGAAGAATTCCCTAGTTCTAAGACTCCTTTGCATTCTAGAATTTGAAAAACGTAACTCGGCAGTCGAGACAACCGGGCAAGGAGCCCCATGTGCCCATCATTCAACTCCAATAGGTACCAGCTCACTGCCAATCCTGCCGTAGCTAGACACCTCCACCCGGGCTTATTTTAGAGCAAGTCCTCCCCGTTTCATTGAGAAACCGGCGCCGGAAGCTGACATGAGCTGTGTGGTGGGAGAGCCCTCCTCCCTTGAGCTCTGGCACCCTGTGCTCTTGCACTCACCTTGGGAGTGAAGTGTCAGTACACAGATGCTTGTCCTGGGCTGTGATCGGTTTCTCCCAGCAGCACCGGGGGTGCCATGCATCTGGGTAAACGGTGATTGTGATCAGTGCAGTCCCACTCCTCTCTACCATGCTCCTTGTCACCTAGACTTTGAGGTGCTTCATCGTAAACAATGAAACGTCTCCTTTTTAGGTTACGAGAAGCTCTAAGAGGAATAGGGACGTGACTATCGAATTGGTTTCTTGTGACGATCTGTGGTTTTATGAATTGGGTCCACTACCTAGGTAATTTTATTAGGTCTTGGCAGCTCTCTCTCTATTTAATGAGGATTCTGTAACGTGCGAATTATGTGAACAAACACGCTCACCCAAAGATGCTAATGAATTTGTCACTGCAATTGACTTAACGTTCCTGATTAATTTTCACTCAAGTGAAAGAAACAGTTCCTTGCCTTGAAGTGAGGTATCCGACAGCTGGCTGCATGGCTCTGAGCAGTTACAGGAAGTGTGTTTTACCTCTGATTCTTAAATTCTGTTGTAAAGGCTGGCACAGACGTACATTTCTAAAACATATCTATCATTCATTCATTCACCTATTCATTTCTTCCAGAAGTTTCCATGAAGTATCTTTCCTGTACTAAACGGGGGGCCCAGCCCAGGGATACAGACAGACTGGGAGTAGGGTGGTAAGAATAGAGTGTGTCAGTCAGGATTCTCCAGAAAAACAGAGCAGCTGTAGATGAGAAATTGGCTCGTGCCGTTATGGAGGCCGACCTTCCATCTGCCAGCTGGAGACCCAGGAAAGCCGGTGGTGTAATTCAGTCTGAGTCCTAAGGCCTGAGAACCAGGGGAGCCGATGACGTAAATCCCAGTCCAAGGGTAGGAGAAGGTGAGATGAGATAGCCCAGCTCACACACGGAGGCAGAAAAAACGGGGGGCGAGTCCCACCTTCCTTCCTTTTGTTCCATTCAGGCCCTCAACGGATTGGATGATGCCCGCCCACATTGGGGAGGGCAGGCTGCCTACCGGGCCCACGGATGCCAATGCTAACCCCATCCGGAAACACCCTCACAGACACACCCCGAAACAGTGTGTAATCTGGGCGCCCCGTAGTCAGTCAAGTTAACACATAGCATTAACCCCCACAGAGTATTCCCTATGTCTACCTCTTGGACTTTGTGCCATTGCTGTCACCAGGCATTCCTGTCCTTCCATCTCCTCTTGGAAGGCTCTGTCTGTACCACTGTGGTCCTGTGGGGTGTTCATTTCCCCCAATTTCTTGCCCAATTTCTGCCCTCCCGGTGATTGCTCTCCAGACGTTGAGCTCTCTCTGCACGCCTGTAATGCCGCCGACTTGACCCTTCCTGTATTCCAGCCATGTCTTAGCCACCGGTTCTCTTACTCCTTCTTCAGGGTAAACATGTGTCTGGTGCAATCCAAACTAACATGGCCACAAACGTTCAGCCACAGGAGTGAGGCTCAAGGGGTGTTCAGAGAGTACATTGAGTAGCCCCGTGTCTTTTCCATCCAGAGCAGGGTACTTGGATGAAGACCAGATGGAAGTGCTGCTGGAGCGGGCTCAGACCGAAGTCTTTTCTATCAAACAGAAGCTGGACAATGACTTAAAGCAGGAAAAGAAAAAGCTCCGCCAAAAACTAATAATGAAGAGAAGACGAGAGATGCTGCAAAAGGTATCTAAGGGATTATGCTGTTGCTTCTTTGCACAACCTTTCTGCACACCCACCAAGTGCCAGGTACCCAGGCATGGCCATCAGAGAGCTGGCATCCAAGTGGCGACCAGGCAGGCATCCTGACGTGCCATCTGTGGTTGACTGACGGTGGCTTTTTGGCCTGCTGGGTCATGAAGGGCTCTACAGGTCCTGTCCAGCCTCAGCAAAGCAGAGGGTCGCGGTGGATGAGGGCAAGGGTACAGGAGTGATGGTGACAATGCCACAGTGTTTACTGAGTGTTTACATAAACCTATGCTAAGTGTGCTGTATAAGATATTTAATCCTTATGTTCATTAACCCTATGAAGTAGTACTAGTGATTTTTTCCCTTTTTTTTTAAATGAAGACACTGAGGCTCAGAGAGCTGCAGTGTCTTAGCCTATTCAGGCTTCTGTAACAAAATATCACAGACTAAGTGGCTTATAAAGACAAAAATTTATATTGTACAGTTCTGGAGGTTGGAAGCCCAAGATCAGGGTGGTGGGCCTCTGACGGGAGCCCTCTTCTCGCTGTGTTGTCACATGCAGGAAGGGCTGAGGGAGCCCTTGGGGGTCCCTTAGAGAACAGCACTAATCCCTTTCATAAGGGCCCCACCCTCATGACCCAAGCACCCTCCAAAGGCTCTACCTCCAAATACCATCACGAGGGGCACTAGGTTTCAGCACATGAATGATTGGGGGGCACAAGCATTCTCATCACAGCATTAAGTAATGTGGTCAAAGTCAAACACCCGGTTAGCGGCAGACACGGGGCTGAAGCCAGGCCTGTCTGACTTAGAGCCTGGCCTTATCTGGACACGAGCCTGCTCGGATGTTTGCCCGCCTTGCAAGAGGAGAGACCAACACATAAACACATAAATGCGTCCTCATGTGCTCACTTCATGCCATACGTTATGTGCTCTAGCAGTGCAGACAGGAAGGGACTCATTCTGCCGGGGGAGGCTTTGCCAAGCAGGCGCAGCACATACTGAGGCCCAGGGGACAAATGTGCGTTTGATGTGTCCAAGGCCAGGAAGGACACTGCAGGTGGCGGGGAGGCACTCGGGCGAGACTGCCTTGCTGTGCTGGGGACTCTGAGAACTTGACATGCTGGGGTGTGCGGGCGGATGAGGGCAGGGGTGGAGGGAGTGTGCCCAGCAGCGTGGGCACGGCGTGCCAGGCTGAGGCATCACCTTCATCCGAGGACAGTGGGAACAGTGAAGGGCTTTTAGGAGAAGGACGCGATCAAATTTAGGATTTAGGAAGCTCACATGAGTAGCCCGTCACATAGAGTTGGAGCAAACCCATGGGAGGCTCTAGTGCTCAGCCAGGTGAGAGCTGATGGGGACCTAAAACTGAGACACCGCCTTGAGCCCCGGGGGAAGGACAGATTCAGAGGATATATGGGATGTATGGGATGAGACCTAGGTGGTACCTTCCAGGATGGAAGGAAGGAGATAGGGGGATAACTTGAGCTTGATCAATAGAAACCCTGCTTTTAATGATCACATTTTGGGCCCAACAGAAAGCCATGGCTCTCACCTTGACTGCTGACCTCTACCCCATGTTGAGCATCACCTCACCTGTCTCCGTGGGCTAATGGATCAAAACAGTGGGGCCCAAGACCACATTTCTCTGATGGTCAGGCCTGATGCAAGGGTGGGGTCTAGCAGGATGGATGGACTGCAGAGGTTCCAGCAGTCTTCTATAAGCATCGTTTCTTGTAGCTGCTTTTGATAAATCTTACAAGTGGCACAGAGTTAAGATGTAGCTCCCCAAAGACAAAGCTTTATGTTCTGTCCCCAGTGCTGAGGACATTTCATTGGTAGAATGAAAGAATTGGCACTCTGGCCACCAGGACCCACGAACATAAGGAAGACCATCCCATGTTCTCACAGAACAGAACCGAGACTGTCCACAGGTGCACTATGATAAATAGCACCACGATGGACATCGTCATGTGCCAGCTCTTTTTCTACCTCCGGGCCTTTGCTCCGACTGTTCTTTCTCCCAGGAAGGTTCTTTCCCTGTGTCTTAACCTGATTAAGATATGACCTCATCCCACAGGTCTCACTTGCATGTCCTTCCTTAGGAGGCCTTCCTGACTCATTTAAATTGTCTCCCGTGGATCTCTGGGTTTGCATCCTTAGAATCCCACGCTGGGCAGTTACCGGGTGCCTGGCACACAGCAGTGACAGTAGCAGGCTCTGCACCGGGCTCTTCTCTGGAGCGACAGATGACAACCTGCTGACTCCTCACAGTTACTCTGTGAGGCAGAGCCCATTGTTCTCCCCACTTTACAGATTAGGAAACGGAGGCACAGCGAGGCTAAGATGCTCACTTCCAGGCACTCGGCTTGTCAGTGGAGGAGCCAGGCCTGGAACCCGGGGCGGCGGCCTCTTGGGTTTTCCCTGGTCAATGAATGCGTGCTTGACTAATGTCAAACAGGTGACGTTTTCATGCTGTGCTGGGTTGTTTCTTTAAGGACGACTTCCTAACTGTGAGCTTGGGGAAAGGGCTTCAGCGTTCTGAGCCTCCTCTGGCGAATGTCCGAAGCGCTTTCCCAAAGGGCTCGATGCCCCAAGCCTTGTCCCCATGTCCTTCTCCTCTCTGGAATCCCTGCCAGCACAAGGAGCAGCGGAAGGAGCAGCTGTCCATCGGGGAAGCCTTCCGAGCGGCCGAGGACGTGGGCCAGTACCTGGGCCAGTGGAGGGGCCTGGTGGCGGGCCACGGCGCCGCCCTGGAGGAGCTGCAGGAGCGTCTGGACCAGGCCGCGCTGGACGACCTCAGGGCCCTGACCCTGTCGCTGTCCGAGAGAGCCACCGAGGACCTGCGGCGTCTCCAGAGCTCACTGATGACCCAGGAGCTGCTCAAGCGCGGGGTACCCTGGCTCTTCCTGCAGCAGATCCTGGGGGAGCACAGCAGGGAGATGGCCGCCCGGGCCGTGCAGCTGCAGGGCGAGGAGCGGGACAGGGACCAGGAGGGCGTCCAGAGCGTGAGGCAGAGGCTGAAGGACGACGCGCTGGAGGCCTCGACGGAGGAGCAGGCGGAGCTGAGACGCTGGGAGCAGCAGATCTTTCTGTGAGTGTCCCGCAGGTTTCTGTCGCCGGCCAGCTGAGGTCGACAGCCATTTGGGAGTCACAGAGACTCTCAGCCGGGGAGAAGGACACCGCGTGACACCCAGGGCCCCTCGGGGGTTGCAGAGTGAACAGCAGGGGCTGTGGGAGGCAGGCTTTGTAGTAGCAAGAGGGTGAGGTGCCCCTGGTCCCCACGGGAGGATGTGATTGCTTTGTTTGAATAATTTCACGGGCAGTCGGGGGATTGAAACCCACTACTGGTGGGTAAGCAGGAGCTGTGCCTGGTCCCCTGGATGAGAAGTGATGTTTGACGAGGTGCGGAGTGGCGAGGGGTGCCTCTTTCCCTTTAACCAGTGGACCTCCCGATCAATGTTCCTTAAAGTTGCTTTTCCTTTCAACAAACCCACCCAGAAAACCCCATCTAAGCAAAGAAACAAAACCAAGCCCCTTGCAGACTTCCTTTCTTGGTGTAGACCCTCCACAGTTTAAGCTGAATCTTAGTCACAGTGTAAATTCTGAACCTCGAGCCCTTTCTGTTAGAAATGGTTTCACGGACACACGGTTGTGGAGAGGATGTTGTGGGTCGCGGGTGGGCGAGAGGGAAGGGGGTGAGTCTCTGTACCTGGCAGGTCCCTCCGCCCCACCCCGCTCTGTGGACCCGTTGCTCTGTTTGCTGGACGTGTGGTGCTCCCCGCCTGCACCAAGGGCTGCACTCTTCTCGAACCCTTGTGGGATCATGTAACACAGCATCATTCTGCTATGTCCACCGTTCCGTGGCACAGGAGCTTCCTGGCCTCAACAATTTAATGCCCCCTGGGTGCTGTTCCCAGGGCCTGACCTGGCTACCAGGGAGAATGGGTTCTTAGGTGTTCGCGGACATTGATGTTGTCCTGGTTTAGATCACGTGACCTCTCGGCTCTTTACCGTTTCTCTTCGCCAGTCTGTCCTCATGTATTTCCCCATCTTTGTTAGTGTTTGTTTTCTTGAACGAGCAAGAGGAGATGCTGTCTTCTCCAAGCCCACAAAAATTGCATCCTTAAACACCACTTCCTGTTCCCACGAGTTGTTCCCAGCAGTAATTACTCAGTTCAACCCACATCCCACCGAAGTCTCTTTTCATGCTCCAACCTCTCTGACTCTTCAGAGCGCCTGAAATGGACTTGACATCCTTATTACCAGGAGGTCGTTTTCTCCAAGTTCATTTGGATTCATTTTGCCGAGAGCCTTACTAAAGCTGATGCTGATTTAGTCGTCTAGCAGGAAAAGAGAGATTTCATGTTGCTGTCAGAAAACTCTTGTGATTTTTCTAAGGGTTAAAGAGGGTCCGCTGACAACGCACACGTTGTGAGTCTGCTCATCCACTTTGTTCTCGTAAGAGTCTAAAAGGTTGCAGCCTTTATCTCTGAGGCATTCTGTAAATATGGCTTTCTTTGCACGGTGGTTTTGAAACACATTTATTGGGTTGTCGGAAAAGTCAAGATGCATTTTTGCAACGAAAAACATAGAAAAAATACGTCGTGAATTTTCCCGACAACCCAATATATGCAGCTTCCCAATTTCCAGCAGGATGGAGTTGCTGTAAACCTGGTCGGATAGAGTAGGAATTAATGAGGACACATGTCTTTGTCGGGGAAAGCGTGTCCTTGAGACTTCTTTCCTAGTTCCTGCCTGCATTTTAAACTCTTTTGGGACAGAGACCCTGTTTCCCATATTTCTGTATAATTTTGGTGCTTACGTAGTATAATAGAGGATTAAGACAGCACCGCCCCACCCCCACCCCCACCCCTGCCAGGGCAGATCCAGGTCAAAGACGGGCAAGAATAACGACTCACAGGGCCGGCCGAGTGGCTCAGTTGGTTAAGAACTCGCTCAAGAGTTTGAGCTCTGAGCAACAGCGGTTCGATTCCCGGCCCAAGCTGAGCAGCCGTTGAGCTGCCAACAGGTGGCAGAATGGCTCAGCTAAAAGAAAAAAAAGAATAATGACTCACTCATTTCCAAGTTGCCTTCAGTTTGATTCCTCATAACCAGCAGACACGGTGAGCTAAGACACTCACTCCACTCGGGGAGGTATGGGTGAGCAGCTGCCGTTGCCTGAGGTCCTTTAAAAACACTGGTGGACCCCCTGGAGTGAGAAACCCAAGAGAGAGGTGTCAGCGACGTGAGCTTGGGGCATTTAGACTCTTTCTGGCTGGGGGCCCAGATCAGCCCTGACGATCTTTATTCTATTTCCACGAGAGAACCGTCCAGCTGAACCACAGCCCCGCACTCCAACATTGAGGTTTGGATGGGATGGGTCTGGCCCCGGCCTCCCACAGTTGGATCCTGCAGACACTTCTGCATTTTAAAGCTTCCACTGTGGCCAGGGCTGACTGAACATTGCTGGAATAACCAAACATACCCATTTGTCTAAAGAGAATATTGGTTAAGAAATGAACACACGTTGTCCAAAGCAGGAAGGAAGAGAAAAGGCCTCATCCTCCAGTGCTGTCTCCTGGGTCAGGGAGGAAATTCTGACCAGCAGTCCCCAGCATCTCCTTGGCCAGAACAGGGTCCTGAGAGGCGGAAAAGTGAGCTTGTGGCCCTCCCCTCCCCGTAGCGTGGGTGGTGGGCCTTGCCTGAGGTGAAGAGGGGGATGTTACTCAGCCTCCGTCTGTAAATTCTAACTGAGTTGTTAGAAGGATTAGCGATATGTGGGTAAACGTCATAAGAAAGCACCACAAACCGGATGGTGTAAAACAACAGAGATGTATCCCCGCCCAGTTCTGGAGTCCTGAAGCCTGAGATGGAGGTGTGGGCAGGTCATGTGCCCTCTGAAGGCTCGAGGGGAGGGCCTGTTTCTGAGCTCCTGGTGTTGACTCAGTCCTTGGCGTCGGTTGGCTTGTAGGCGCATCACTCCAATCTCTGCCTCTGTCATCACATGTTCATCTCCCTGTGTGTGTGTCTTTCTCTTCTTATAAGGACACCAGCCATGTTGGATTAAGGGCCCACCCTAGTCCGGTGTGACTGACTGACTTCTTAATTGCATCTGCAAAGACCCTGTTTTCAAAGATCACATTCACAGGAACTAGGGATTAGGACTCGAACATATCTTTTGCAGGGGTGGGAGGGACGCAAGTCAGCCCATAACATTAAGTCACTCAGCGTGGCTTTCAGCATGGAGTGTGTTTTCTCTAAATAATAACTGTTGATCATCATCCTTTAAGGCCAACGCAGGCTTCCCCTGTTCCCTGGCCCACCTGGGCTGAGCTGGGCATTTCTCTTCTGGGCCGCTGGTCCCTATTTACAGTCTGCTGCTGACCAAGCTCAAAGGGCAATCTTTTGCTTTCGTGTCTGTTTCTAAAGCAAGACGAGGTTATCTTCACGTCACGGACACGGGAAGGCCCGTCGCCTCTTCACAGACACCCTCACGGCCTCGTGCACGCAACTCTGGACTTCAGGTCCAATATGATGTCTTGTCCAACACGACAGACGTCTGATGCTCAAGAAATATTTGCGAAATAAAGGCGTGATTAGGCAGATTATGGGTTTTCTTTTTCTCAGACATGGTTTTGACTAATGACTTTTGCTCTTTGAATTTTCAGCTTTCCCACCCCCAGCACCCCCCCCACTATTTTATTGTTATTCTTTAAAAAAATTTTTTTTAATTAATTAATTTATTTTAAAATTTATTTTTCAATTATAGTTGATATACAATATCATATTAGTTTCAGGTGTATATCATTGTGATTAGACATATATACCGTATGGAGTGACCACCCCGATAAATCTAGTACCCACCTGACACCATACGTAATTATTACAATACCATTGACTATATTTCCTATGCTGTGCGCCATGACTATTTCTATAGTTGGCAATTTGTACTTCTTAATCCCTTCACTTTTTTACCCAGTCTCCAGCCCTCCTCCATCTGTTGACTATCAGTTTGTTCTCTGTATCTGAGTCTGCTTCTGTTTTGTTTATTCGTTTATTTTATTCTTTAGATTCCACTTATAAGAGACAGCATACGGTATTTGTCTCTCTCTGTCTGACTTATTTCACTGAGCATGACACCCTCTAGGTCCACCCGTGTTGTCACACATGGCAAGAGTGCATTGCGGCATTACTGACAATTAAAGATACGGGATCGACCTAAGGGTCCATCGGTGAACGAGCGGATCGAGACGTGCAGGTACGTACAGCGGCACGTTACTCGCCTGCTCCCGGTTCTGCTTTCCCAGGCGGCTGTGTTCCTCGGCCTTCTCCCTGTCTGAAGAGGAGCTGCTCAGGATGAGGCAGGAAGTTCACGGCTGCTTCGCCCAGATGGACAGGAGCTTGGCCCTCCCCAAAATCCGGGCGCGCGTCCTGCTGCAGTGGCTTCACGCTGCCTGGCGAGAGGCAGAGTTCCTGAAACTGGACCAGGCCTTGGCTGCCCCTGAGCCGCAGGTAGGGTGGACATCTGTTGGCTTCTTGATTGCACAGGCGGGACACCTCCCAGCTGCTGCTTCGATGGGATCTGGACCCACTGCCCACCCCCGGCTCAGCTCATCTCACTCAGCCCCATGCTGTCCTCACCAGCCGTGCTGGCATCCTCTACTCCTGGAACTGCCAAGCATGTCTTAACCTTAAGGTCTGCAGTGGACACACTGGTGCCCAGCCCAGATCCCCTGGCCTGGGTCCTTTCACTGCTCACCAGCAGCCATGAGTGTTAGTTGCTCTCGGCTCACAGCCACACCCCTCTCCTGGCCCTGGCCCTGGGAAGATGGGAACCACCTGGCCTGAAAGGTTACTCTCCCTTCTGGCCCCTCCGCCATAGCCCACTGACCAACTCAGGGCACAGAAGGCTGGCCCTTTCTGTAAGTGGCATGAGGACGATGTGCACCTCAGCCCAGGTGGGCGGGAAAAGGGGTGTCTCACACCGGGCCTTGTAGGGTGATGATTGACAGCTGCCTTTTCTGAGCACCTGTTACGTGCTTCAAGGGCAGACAACTCTTGGGTGCAGTGTTTGCTCCGGAGCCCCCACGGACCAGTCAAGGCTAGACCTTACCTGGGATTTCTGCTCGCATGGCACTTTCCCCTTCCTGTCCTGGCCCCTCACTCCTCATATGTTGCTCCAAGTTCCTCTCCGGAAACCATGGGCACCCCACTCCAGCTCTGCCTCTGGGGAACCTGACCCAAGACAAGGCTTTGAACTTGCTGTTTCCTCTGCCAAGAACACACTTCCTTCAGCACATCACAGGGCAGCTCTCTGTGGTCTACTCACATCTCAGCCCAAGTGTCACCTGCACAGAGGTCCTCCTTGGGCACCCATGCATGAGAACCCTCCCCAGGCATTCTGTGTCACGTGGCCGTGCTCCATGTCTTCCTATAATTGCTCACTGTCTGAAATGTCCTGGTCTCTTGACTTGCTGGTTGACTGTGCCTCCACTCCAAACCAGCCCCTGATGCATTCACACCGTTCCATCCCCAGCACCTACAAAGTGCCCGGGCACAGTAGGTGTGCAGTAAATTTTGTTAACTGAACTAACCAACCAACCACAGATGTGTATGAAATGTTGGCGCTTCCTTTGGGTGATAATCTGTTGAGATTGAAAACATATTAAAATCTAGCTCACACTATCCCCTGAAGACCACAGCAGTGCCAGGAGGCAGATGTTATGGCCCATTTTACGGGTGAGGAAACCAGCCAGCAGAGGAAAAGTGAACCGGCTGTGAAGTGGGAGAGGCAGGAGAGCTGGGCTTGGGGCTGGTGCTTCCTGATTCTTAACCCCACTGTTCTTCCGTTAGGGGAAGAAAAAAAATTCAGACACATCTTCTCCTTATAAAAATCAATGGGCAGAAACAACTTGGAAGCTTTTACATTCTTTCATATGTAAAAAAGGTTTTTTATCTCTGTTCTCACAAGGGCATGGGATATGTAAATGGTGCTAATTAAAGAGTAAGGGACAAATTATCAAAAAAATTTAAAGGATTTGGAATAATGAATAAAAGATTTTGCACATTAGTAAAGTGAAGCGTGCCTCCCCTGCCAACCAAGGACCAGTCCTGCAGGAATTAAGTTTCTGATGTTAAACGTGTCCCAGGTGCTTCGTTCTGAAAGGGAATTGGCCTTGTACCCTGCCTCAAAGGGGCAGATGCATCAGCCCTGGGCATGAAGTGTGCTCATTCAGTACCTTCCAGGAGAAATGCGC